TGGGCCACCGGAAGCCTTATGAAACGTGGCCAAGTTCTCCAGCAGGGAACTCCGGAGGTCCAAGAACCACGAGTCAAACTCCCCACAAGGCAGGGACTTGGGATCAGCCTCACCGCCGCAGCCGCTCCTGAATGTGCCTCTGTGGATTTGGCACCCCAGGGCGGCTGCCTTCTCCCGGCCATGGTGTTCAGAGTGACAGGACCCATCGGGGTCAGAACAGCCATCTCCCTCCCAACGTGAGCCACCAGGGGATGAGGGTGGTCAAGCGCTCATGAGACACTTTCAGCCCTTTCTAGGCACTTGGTTCCTATTCTCACCCATGTCGGTGCTACCTGTCTACGGGCGTTGGGGACTGGGGCTTTTGCGTGATGCCCACCGGGTGTCCCTCCAGTGACTCTGGAGACGAGCAAGCAACACTTCTCCCTGAACCTGATGGCAAAGCCCCCCGGTCCCCAGCTCTGCCCGACCCAGGCCACACAGTCTGATTACCGGGAAATCGGCTTCGCACCCTCTCACGCCTCCACCTCCCTTCGCTGGGAATCAGGAAGCTTTTCAGCCAAACGCTGAGAAGAAGAGCTTCAGCCAATGAAGAGTTCACACTGCGGAACGCGTTTGGCAGCCCCCATAACTCACGCCTTGTTTATTCTCACCGATGCTCACTCTTATCGTACTGCATGTGTTTCAGCCACTCTGCGAATGTCATCTGTCCAGAAAGAGAAAGCGGTTGTTTACTTCTTACCGCACAGGGAGATGTAGCTCCCTTACAGATTGTTCACGTTGTATTGAGAGGCGAAGGCGGGTCACTCAGACGCTGAGATGGGAGCGTGTGTGGCTGGCGCTGAGATTCTCCAGCCGGGTGGAGGTGGGGAGACAGGGGAGGTGCACCGCTGCCTCGGTGCCATTGAATGGAAGAGGGAGCCCAGAGCTCAGCAAGCCCCCTGATTTCTAGACTGCACACGCCTTTGGGGGGCTTGGAAGGGACCGGTGGTGGTTACAAGCGAAAGGCCCCACCCATAAGTCCTGGTGACAAACCTTCTCATCCTCAGGGGCCCTTGGCTGCCCTTCCCAAGGCAGGATGCAGAGCTGTCCAGGGTCCTGATGTGCAGCCCGCTGGGGCATGTCCAGACCCCAGACCCAGGACACCCGAGGTTCCTGGCTTTGCTCACGCAGAGCCGGGGATGGTTTTTGCTTCAGCCTTTATCTGAACAGTGCATGAGTCTTTATCAGAGCAGCTTCATCCACAGAAAAAGTGGGGACACTGGGCAAGGGGGTGAGCCCTCTGTATCTCCTTCATTATGTTTCCGTCTCTGTTCAAAAGTGGCCTTGTCAGGCCAGGTGCCGTGGTTCACGCCTATAATTATAGCACTTTGGGAGGCCAAGGTGAGAGGATTACCTGAGTCCCCGGGTTCGAGACAGCCTGGGCAACTTGGCAAGACCTCATCTCTACAATAAATCAAAAAATTAGCCAGGCGTGGTGGTGCATGCCTGTAGTTCCAGCTACTTGGAAGGCTGAGGTGGAAGGATCGTCTGAGCCCAGCAGGTTGAGGCTGCGGTGGCCGGGAGTGTGTCACTGCCCTCCAACCTGGGTGACAGAGTGAGACTCCATCTCAGAAAAAAAAAAAGTGGCCTTGTGGGGGAGGAAGCCGCTGTTAAGTTTAAGGGTCAGGAACACACAGGATATGACAAACTCATACAGGTTCCACATAAGATCTGCCATGACTATCTGTGGTTGTCCACAAGACAATTTTCCTTCAAAGGGGGCAGTTGCAGTCAGATTGGTTTTGTGCACACGTGTGGCCGAGTGGTCGGGAGACTCACCTCCCCCTCCCCCTCTCCGCCCCTCACCCCCTGGGCTCTTTCCTGCCGAACTTAACCACCAGGCTCTAACCCGGCTAGCTGAGAGTGCATCCTTGCTCCCAGCCCAAAGGCGGCCTCAGAAACTACATCAGGCTCAGAGTCCTGAGGTCCAAGAGTCAGTGACCCCTCTCCAGGCTGCACAGTCACTGTCCTAGCGCTCTGCTTGTTTAAGGGATGGCTGGTTCTGACCGGGACTGTGGCTCTTGGCAAAAAGGGACCAGAGCCCACTGCCCTCCCAGGCCACGGAGATAGTGCCGGTGGGAGGGACACAGGCACACACCGGTCCACCTTTCAGAAGTGGCTCCTCAGCCCGCCTCGACCAAGTCTGGCACGACATATTTGCTCCGGAGAAGGAATATAAATAAGTGCCATCGCACCTTGACAAGTTGACAGGAGTGACAAGCAGAGTAAATCCCCGTGTCTGAAACTCTGAGGAGGAGAGGCAGTTTAGCAGAGCCAGCTGCCATCACCGGAAGAAAATAATTAAGGAAGCCCGGCAGTGTAGAGGAGCACTGAGCGGTGCACTGGTTCCCTTCTGGTGAAGGACCTGTCATCACGGCTGTGGAGAGGACCCCCATGTGCCAGAGCTGGAGACGGCTGTAGGGGAGACGGGATGAGGAAGAGGAGAGGGTGACTGGGAGGAGGGAATCGGGCCCTGGGGCTGAGGGGAGGTCCCGCTGAGGGGTTTAATTTTAAGAGGCCGGGCACCCATTCCTCACAGCCTATATCCTGAGGGATGCAATCAGTTCTGCGTGGAGCTTCCCCTACGTCTCTGAGGAAGAGTCTAGAAAGCCTGTTTCAGATTTCCCCTGCATGCACACACGCATACACACAAGCTCAGGAAGACGGAGACACACTGCCCTTTGCCTAGGGAGCGGTGCGCCCCTGTTCCCAGCCCAAGGGGATCCGCAGACCGAAAAGGAAGTGTGCTCAAGTGATGCCTTCATTCTATCTCTCTTGGGGTTTGAGGAAGCGTCCAGCAAGCTCAGGAAATTCAGGCTGTCCAGGGGTGACCTCGCACCCCCCCCCCCACTTGCTAAGGAATGAAGGAGACGTGTGGACACAGCCTCAGATTGGCCAGCATGAAAACAGGCACTATCTGAATCTGTAAAACTGGGTCCCATGGAGAAATCCACAGAGACTCTGGCTCAGAGAAGACCTGAATGTCCCCTCGCCAGCTGGGCTCTGGCCCCTGGACCTCTGCCCAGTACACAAAGACAGCAGGGGAAGTGCTGGATTGCCAGAACCTACCCCCACCCCCTGGCAGCAGCCAGGACTCGGTCAGGTGTGGCCAGGCATGGCGGCCTGATACGCCAGCCGGAAGTCCTAGCGCTCTGCCTGTTTAAGGGGTGGCGGGTTCTGATCGTGACTGTGGCTTTTGGCAAAAATGTCCACCCGCATAGCACAGTATCTGAAGCCTCGGTGGCCAGGCAGACACTCGAGAAGGAGACGCAGACTTCTAAGCAGGTTCCCTGGAAGGAAAATCTCCTCGTCCTCCCAGCAATTGCCCCCAAAACAAACCAACAGGGTCTGCAAGCAAAATCTCCCCTGGCCAAAGTTTATCTCACACGAGCTTGTCCTAGATGGGACCAGCCCAGGTGAGGGGCCTCCTCTGTGGCAGTGTGGGCCTTCTGGAGTGTGACCACGGTGCGTGGATCTCACCATCCCCTCCCCCACCTCAAGTTGCCAGCGAGGGCTTGCTGGACGGTCACTCTCCCTGGGCTCCGCTCAGCCTTTGGAGACTAGGGTGAGCCGGATTTGCCCAAGCCCCAGTTCCAGCTGAGAAGGCCAGAATCGCAAGGCAAGTGCCCGGCTTAGGGAACTTCCCATAGTGAGGGGGGAAAGAGTGTGTTTCAAAGGCGCAGGTGTGGACGTGCCCTGTGTCAAGTGCAGAGTGCTCATAGGGACCAGAAGCAGGATGTGGCTGTGGGTGCGAGGAGAGAGGATGGACCGAACTCCTGAAGAGTCCTTTCCCAGGCCGGGCTCAGTGGCTCAGTCTGTAATCCTGCGCTTTGGGAGGCCGAGGTGAGTGGATGGCCTGAGCCCACGGGTTCAAGACCCGCCTGGGCAATTTGGCGAGACCTCATCTCTACAATAAATCAAAAATCAGCCGGGCGTGGGAGCACGCGCCTGTAGTTCCAGCTACTTGGAAGGCTGAGGCGGAGGGATCGCCGGAGCCCAGCGGGTCGAGGTTGTGGGGGCCGGGAGCGGCCACTGCACTCCAGTCTGGGTGACAGAGTGAGACTCCCACTCAAAAATAAAAAAAAGAGTCCTTTCCCTGGAACTTAATGAGACAGTGCGTTGCGGCAGGAGGTGGCCTCGGAGAGCCCTGGCCTTTCCTGGGCAGGTGAGTGGCCCCGCCGGGCAGGAGGCCTCTCCTGGCCTTCCAGGTCACCTCGGGAGGGGTGAGGCGGAGCGGTGAGCACCCCCTGGGAGCCGGCAGGACCACGTCTTTGCTGCGCCTTGTTTTCCGCGTGGGCCTCGCCCCCAGCTCCCTCCAGCCTGGGCCTCCACAGTCAGCCCGTGGGCAGTTCTCCGGGCGCCACGCCGCGCTTCCTCTGCTTATGCCGCCCTCCCCTCTGCTTGCTTTTCAGGAATAACGCTCAACGTCCGGCCCCGGCAGCCGCCCCACGTAAGTCCTGAGAGTCCGGTGGGTCGCAGCGCGCACAGCCGGGGGCAGGCGGGGGAGGAGGGAAGGACGTGGGGCCCAGGCCGAACCCGTTCGTGGAGAGAAAAACGCGTCCCGTCCTTCCCAGGAGCCTCGGGAACAGGGGTCCGTGGACTTCCCTTGCCCGCTCGGCGGCCGCTCGCACGGCGCTGGCCGACGCCGTCCAGGCGG